CCGGGTAAAGTTGAGATGCGGACCGCTGTGAGGTTGCCTGTCAAGAACTGTCAGAAGTGGGAACAGGGTTATTGCATACAAAGTTTTTGGTCGAAACTAGCGAAATGTGTTCATGTGTGTGGATGGGTGGTGGGGAAACCTGAAGGGCCGCATCTAAAGTTTTCACATACAATGTGTGCGCTACTGATAATAGGTTCAGTAGTCGAGTCCGGTAAATCAAATTCAAAACTGATCATGCCTTCTTCGCCGCTTAGCAGAGGTTCTCGGTCTTTCGTAGCCCCATGACACAGAGGGTAACGCGGCTACAATCGCTGTTTGTATTCTTTCTGTCGCTGCTTTCCTGATCGGGATGGCAGTATTGGTCGGTTTTATATGGTGCCTCTTCATCCGATAGGTTCGGTTCGCGTGGGGTTTTGAAGTTTATCATCCGGAAGGCATGAATATTGCAAATTGAAATCGATTTTGAACTAGACCTACACTAGAGCGATACAGAGAGTGCTCAAGAGAAAAAAATGTCACAAGGGTATCAGCACACGTTGAAAGGAAATAAAAGACGAGATGGAACGTCTTATATTCGAGAAACTTCCTAGGAAGGAAATTCTGTCTTGTGGTTGAAAAATGAAATCGGTTGAAAGGATCGGAAGGAATTTTTGGTCAAGCGCGATTTGTCGGTCGTTCAGGAGATAATTGCCGGACTTCCTCTTCATCGATTCCTGGAATCAGCAGAAAATATATGAGAGTGGGAGAGCGTGAATAATATGTTGGAAACCCCTCAAACGTGGTAATTTTCGAACCATAGCAAAATTCTACATACCTTATTATTCTTCTTCTGGTGCCATGCTGGAGGCTGGTTTGCGAGAACGGCTCTGAAAAAAAAATTTAAGAACACGAATCAAATCCGATTTAGTATTTTGTTTAAAAATGACGGAGAAGGGAGGAATTGACGATGCAATAAGTTGACTTACAGCTGGACCACCGGCTGGAGCAGCGCTAACACCTCGACTGGCGGACACGGACGATCGATTCTTGGCACGGAGTTTCTGCAAAGCTTGTTCAGCCTCATCAGCACGAGCTTCTGCATCCTCAATTTCGTGTTGGATCTTACGGTATTTGGCCAAATTGATAGCAGCAATTTCCTCAGCCTCTTCAACCTGTCGTTTGTAGGTCTTGATCTTGCCCTGCAACTTCTCCACCAATTCTTGCATACGATCATGGTTCTTCTTATCCTCTTCGCCCTGCATAGAAAGAGAAATAAAAGCGTAAACAGAACACCGCAAGATATCGAAATCATTCATATATTGAATTAATGAGACAAAGGAGTCTGTTTGTCTCCGGAACTCACCTGCATGGCGATTTCCTTCATGCGTCGGTCCACCTTGCGCAGGTTCTTCTGCGTCTCACCATGGCGGCGTTGTTCAGCTTCCAATTCGGTTTCCAATTCCCGGACGCGTTGTTCCAATTTACCCACAGCTTTGCGGCCGTTCTTCATTGCTCCAGACTCACTGTCTTCCAGACGAGCTTGCAATTCTTTGACCTAGATGAAGTACATTAGTGAGATGAAAAACAATTGAGTGTTTGCGGCAAGGACGTGTCCGTGTCTCTGTGTGTGTGTGTGTGTGTGTGTGCGGTGGAAAAGGGAAAAATAAAGAAGCATA